TCAATGTCAAGTATGGTGGTACAACATGATGTAAGGCACTGCGATTGGTTGATGTGCTTTCATGCTCAATATTTCCATCTTGGCCTCGCCAGAAATGGACCAATATCACAACTTTATCACGCACCGATCTCCTCGTGATGCTTTGGGACACAATCAGTCTGAGGGTATAAAACCAAAGGTCTGATTAAGTTCAGGCTCGTCGCCGGGTGTCTTTTGCCCGTTCACCAAGCACACCTCATCAGTTTTAGAAAATGGATCTCTCCAACGCAGCCTCGTCCTGGATCGGAACGATTGCGACCGCCATAGGGCTGGGATCGCTCATTGCCCAGGGAAACGTGATTCAGGAACGGATTGATCCCTATTCTCCCTTTCGGGGCACGGCGGTCTTGGGTACATGGACAAGTCGCCAAGCGTCGAAAGCGTGGTACAGCCTCCGGCCTCCTATCCTCGTTGGCCCTGTCATCACAGCAACTCTCGCGCAAGGCTTTTGCGGTCGGCAATCCGTCTTTTTGTCCCGTAGGCCCGGTCCTTCGCATGGCACCGCGTCTTGGGCTGTCGTGATGGGCATCTTTCACCCGCAAGCGGTGGAGCACCGTTTCGAAATAAGCCCCATCGCAACCCTGTTACCGGTCGCCAAACGATCCCAAGGTCCTGAAGACGGCACGCGTCGCCAGGTTTCCGGCCAAGACGGACGGAGCGATGTGGTGGGCACATCCAAAGTCGCGAGCACCTGGTCAAACACCCCCACGCAACGCCTCACACTCCATCGGTCTGCGGCCTGTGCCGCAATCTCGCGAACGACGCTCATCGTTATGCTCGCAATGACAAATGCCCGCGAGGGCTTCCGCCATGTCGGCGCAGCAGGCTACCGGGCCTCTTATCCGTCGTATGGAGGGTTGTGGACGATCGAGTGGCCCATTGGCGACCTGGCCATCGTCAGGCTGTCCCCCCACGATATCCTGGCCGCGCCAGGGTCGGACCCCTATCCGCCCCTGCTACACGTGCGAGTAGACTGCTGCGTAGAAATGATGGCAGGAATCCTCAAGAACCGAAAAGGCCTCTGCGTAGCCTTTCCCGGCCGCAAAAGCTCAAGCGCGGTGCTTCGCTTTCAGAAGAACGGATATGCAGGCGCGCATGGCAGCCGCCACTTGTACAACATGGCAGGCGGGGTCGTGTATCCAGTCGACCTGCTCGCTCGGATAGACACGCCATATCCGTTCCCGACAACCGAGTCCGAGGGCACTGTCCACATTGAAGTCCCCAGCCTAGAGCAGGGCAGATCTGTGTGGATGTCGATACCGCCGCTGGAGAGGGGTATCCTGGTGCAGGCCATGGACTCGATCCCCTGGAACACACTGTCGTGGTCCCTGCACCGTGGCATGCGGGATATCATTCTCGGCTTCGGAAAGCCGTGTATGGATTTGCATCGGGCCCAGCTGGCCGACATGCTTCGACAGACGGTGAAGGAGGAAAGCAAGACACTCGTGGCGCGAGGATGGGCATCTGACATGGTTCTACATCACATGCCTGATGTTGTTCATTCGACAGTTATGGCCGGGCGCGGCGACAGTGGTGATGCCGTTCGAGCCGTCGTCGATACGGCCTACCTTCTTGTTCATGCAGCCTGCAACCTTGATGAAACACATTTCTGGCGAGATGCCGATACCGCGAGCTCTCTCGCTGATGGGGCGCAAGAATGGGCTGTGCTTCCACTCTCTACGGATACAATCGTTGCCCTGACTAAGTTTATGGTTATTGAATGGAGTCAAGAGATGGACTATCAGATGTATCACGACTTGCCTATGACTTTATTGATTGCTTCATAGTGCAGCGTAGTATAGTGCACAGGGACTGTGAGAATAATCAGGCGTTGTCGTTGGTAGCTCAGCAGTAGCCACTGTACATGATGGCTGAAGCGCCCCAAATGATTGACCAGGCTCGACTATCAGTATCGACGGTGTACGCTTTGGGTTCACAAGTTCATCATCCTTTTGAACACGAGAACGACCTCAGGTACAACGGTACGTACTGCGTGCTCCAGATATAATGGTAGAGTTGGCTTCTGGGCCAGTCATGTGATAACACTTGATAGCAATATGTTAGACAAAATCCTTCAAATAGGCAGTCGAGCCGGCGGCTCTTGGCTTCAAAGTACCTCGGACCGTTCGTGATCAGAGAGATGGTCAGTCACAAGGGTCAACCGAGTAAAGGGCACATGTCTTGTTGCTATCAGCTATTAATATTACACCATCCAACCAGCCAGGGTATCGTTGTGCATCTTCTGTGCCACAGTCAACTGTTAACAAAACCGGAGGAGGGCGGCCAGTAAAGCCAAAAACCCCCACTCGCGATTGCCGTCTCTTTTCCAGACCAAAAACCTCCCATGCAAAATATATCGTTCGTAAGGATCGTAAGAATGGTATTATGTGTTCACATTGTTTGTTGGCGATTGTATGTGAGAGAGATATGTGACAAAAGTCTACAGGTGCCACCGCCCTCTCAGGACGGCGCCAATGTGTTTGTGCGTGTGCGGGGGATTGACAAGATAAGAAAATGGAGTGCGGTGCGCTTTACATAGCGACCATGAGGGCCATGATGGCCATGACAGCTCCAACGCCAGCGGAGACCTTGCCGGCGCCGGCCTCAACGGGGACCTGGCCAGAGGGGGCAGGGGTGGGGATGATACCGCCAGTGCCGGCGGGGGCAGAGGGAGCAACAATGAGAGTGGGCTCCGCAGGGGCACCGGGGGTCTCAACGATGGGGACGGCGGTGGGGGCGACGGGAACGACGTCATTGCCACCGGCAGGGGTGGTGAAGTCGACCTTGGGGACCTCGATGGTGGACTTGATGACGGTGGTCGTGGAGGAGCCCTCGATGGTGGTGCCGTCGGTGACGCAGGGGACGACAGTGGTGGCGTCAAGAGTGATGGTGGTGTAGTGAGCACCGGAGGTGGCGGTGGGGACAACGGTGATGACCGTGTTGATACGCTCGGCATCGGTGACGATGGCGGGGTTCTCCTTGACGTGACCGGCGCAGACACCCTGGAAGAACTTGGTGGCCTCAGAGATGATGTCGTCAGATTCACCGTGGGCGTAGATGCAGGAGAAGATGTTCTCAACGAAGGCGACGTCAGGGCAGTAGCAGGTCGTGTCGGTGTTGTCCTGGCAGCCGACAGAGAAGATCCAGGTGTTCAGGCACTTGGGGACGACGTCAGGGCAGGGGAGGGACTCGATGGGGGTCTCGGGGACGGTGCTGGAGGGCACAGCGACGGCGGAAGAGACCGTGACCTCGGGCTGCTCAGGCTTGACGGCAGTGGGGGTGGGGGTGGTGATGATGGTCTCCGTGACGTCGCAGACAGTGGTGGTCTGGGGAATGGTGACGGTGACGACAACGGGGGTCTCAGCACCGCCGCACTCAGGCTTCTCGGGGCCGCAGTCGGTGACAGTCT